AAAAGTGGAAGTAAGTTGATCGATGCACACTCCTGTCTTGTAATCCACGTCGAAAGTCGTATTAAATCATTGCACGAAAATTTTCACTAGTTAATTCCATTTTTTCGCTGAGACACAATTTTCAAGTGACTGTAAACAATACAAATCGCGCTCAAATAACAAAACGTTCCGAAGAAAGTTATGGTAAAAAATGTCAAACTTTCTAGTGGAAACGTCCGATGGCACCTGACAACACTCAGTGTTGCCAAGGCTCAAAATATAAGTATTGCCCCTCGTAATGATTGTTTACGTCAAAAAGCCGGACAAATATTTTTTCTTGCTCACACACTGCTATTTTTAATTAATGAGTGGATAAGTAATTGTAATGCAGAAGGAATTATACAGCATACTCACTGTTTTGTTCTTTTATCGCAAATTTTGAATATTACGTTAGCATATCAGATCCACGAAGATTCAATCACCTTATTAAACAGAATAATGGAAACGTTCTTACTTAATTTCAAAAGTTTAAATCCAAATTTATTAGTACCCAAGTTTCTTTTTTTAATACACATTCCGCACTACATAAGAATGTTTGGACCTGCTAGGCAATCGTGGTGTTTTCGTTTTAAAGCTTGCCATTCCTATTTTAAATCACTTGTACCAGTGGTAAGAAATTTTAAGAATATGGCATTGACATTGTCTTATCGGCATCAATCACGTTTATGTACCAAACTGGCTGTTTACTTTGGCATGCCATCAAAAAAATTTTTATACAAAGGTGATCATGTAACCCTAGGAGAAATGGTATTAAATATCAATACAATGAAGTAATGTCTTAATTCAAAAAATCAATAAGATATGACAAAGCATAAAAGCCAACGCTAGTTATTATTGCGAATGTTTTTATCAATTATTACATCAAAATATATACGTTTTGACCCTCATCAGGTCATCTTCAGTAACATTTAAAAAGAATAAACATTAGTATGATCTTCCTTAATTTTTTAAACTTATCTTAAACGCTAACAAATTCGTAACTGTACGCCGCAAAATTTAAAACGGTGAAACCATGCTCAGGAACTCCTTAGACGTTCGAAGAACTCCATAACATCTTCCTGTATTTCCACTCCTCCAAATTTATACATTATACAAATTTATTCAAGTCGTCGCACAGTGGGTCGAAACACAGCAAAACACGGACATAGGGTAAAATTATTTTTTCGCTGTAAAAGGCTTCAAAGCTGGTTCTAATTATTGTTTAAAGCTTGTTTCAGCTTAATTTTAAGTATAAAGCGAACCATGAATGTTCATTGTTTATATGGACATTAACAATCTGTGGACTTAGAAATTGTGGAGAATTAACGTATATTGTTGTTATCGATTCAGAGCAATGCTATATATAAATGCTTATATTGTTTACAATGTTTCTTTTTTATTACATTTGTTTGTAACAAAAGCTATTGTTAGAAATTGAATGCCGACAAAAGTTACGGCTCCGGGATATCATGTAATATGAGTATCCGCTACTTGGTTTACAGTAATGACAACACTTCGCAAGGTTTACAATTATTTATTTGCTCACTGAATGTACTACTATGAATAATCATACACAACACAACCGTTATATGGAACGGTAACGAACATAAGAGAAGATGTATTATATTATACACACCGCTAGCCAGTGGTGCCAACGCAACTCGGGCTCACCAAGAAGGACGCCGTACACTCAGTGCATTACAAACAGCGCCATACAAACTAGAATCTAGGAACTAGTTTCTCTCACTCAAGCCATATAGTCATAGAAGAGAAAGGAGGCGGCGATTACAAATTTAAAGTACCCAAAATCCCTAACACTGCCCCCCATTGAAACCTATGAGTTTCAATCAAGAACTGAAAGAAGTTAACAAGCGAACAAAACAGAATTATGATGATTTACAAATAGCATATGTACTTATGACTAAAATTCCATTAAGAATATGAATAGTTAGTAAATTACTACAAGCGCATATTAAAATAACATAATAATATTTGATTAACTATCATTATGCCTTAGTGTCTACTGGTAGTATAGCCAAGCGCGCTAATGGACGAGTGACAACACCATTACTGGTTTTAATTTGAGCTGATCGTCCTTTGTTATCTGAACTTCTATTTACACTCAACACACGTCCCATTAACCACTGCATTGGTGCTAACCCTGATTGTTGAATTATAACCAACTGTCCTGTCTCAAGAGATTGGCCCTTGTCGTTCATCCATTTGCTTCTACCTTGCAAGCTATTGAGGTATTCAATCTGCCACCTTTGCCAAAAATGTTGACGCAGCCTTTCTACCAATTGCCATCGACTTAAACGATTTATCTGAATGTCTTCTAAATTTGGATGACTATAACTATTTAACGGTTGACCAATAAGAAAGTGGCCCGGTGATAACGCTTGAACATCATTCGGGTCATTTGACATTGGACTTATGGGACGCGAATTCAGAATAGCCTCAATTTCAGTGATTACAGTTGACATTTCGTCGTAATTAAGAGATGCATTGCCAATAATTCTTTTCATATGATACTTGGCAGATTTGATAGCTGCCTCCCACAGTCCGCCAAAGTGCGGAGCATTGGGAGGTATGTTTTGCCACTGAATTCGAGTCTCTGAAAAGAAGTCATTTAATTTGCGCTGTACTTGTTCCTCAGTGAACATCCTATGCAACTCATTGAGTTCTCGAGCTGCTCCTACAAAATTCGTCCCATTGTCCGAATACAGGCATGCAACCTTGCCTCTTCGCGCCATGAACCGTTTAAGTGAAGCCAAGAAGGCCTCTGATGTTAAGTCAGCCACCAACTCTATGTGCATAGCCTTGGTGGAAAAACATACAAAAATGCATATATACGCCTTGAGCTTCCTTGCATTACGACGCTTATGCTCCCTTATGATGAACGGACCACCGAAGTCCAGCCCAGTATGTGTAAATGGATGTGACGGAGTCACTCGTGTACTCGGAAGATCGCTCATGACACTTTGTGAAATAGTAGGCTTAAGTTTAAAGCATATTATACAGTTTTTTATGACATCGCGAGTAGTTACTTTAGCTAAAATTGGCCAAAATTTGCTACGGACTGCATACAATGTTAATTAAATTCCTGCATGCAAATTCTTAATATGCTCATCACGTATGATCAACTTAGTAATCATATGGTCCTTAGGTAGCAAAATTGGATGCTTAGCTTCGTACGATATGTCAGAATTTCTCAAACGACCACCTACTCGCAATAATCCATTCCGATCCAAAAACGGGTTAAGAGATAATATTTTACTTGTTTTAGATATTACTCCTACACGAATTAATTCCTGTATTTCTGAATCGAAATATTGATGCTGCACATATCTACACAACGCCTGCAATGCACACTCTCTATCCTGCACTGTTGCGACGCCAGTATGTTTCTCTAAGGGATTTCTGCAATTGTGAATGAATTGAAATACATATGCCAATACTCTAATTAACTTTCCAAAACTAGGATATCTAACGATTAAATTCTCAAATACATCCAATGTTTGTTTGACAACGTGTACATTGACCTTTACTTGATCTGGTAACGTCTCCGGGTATTGTGGATGATTATCAGGCCAATCCTTTTCGTCCGACGATAACCATTCTGGACCATTCCACCATAATTTCGATTGCATTAAATCCAAAGAGCTTGCCCCACGAGAAATGATGTCTGCAGGATTATGTTTAGTGGAAATATGATGCCAATCTTTGATTTTGGTTAGTCTCTGAATTTCTCCAATACGGTTAGATACAAATGTTGCAAACTTGTAAGAGCTTGATTTGATCCATGACAAGGTAATGGTGGAATCAGTCCACAGATATATTTGATGTGGTTGAAATTCAATTGCCTTAAGTAAACTTACTTGCAACTGAGCTAACAGCAAGGCTGCACACAACTCTAAACGCGGTAGTGATATTGCCTTTGCTGGTGCAACTCGCGATTTGGATGCCAATAAATGTGTATGACAATCATTGTGCGAGTTACGTATCCTTAAATAACAGCACGCTCCGTATGCATGCTGACTGGCATCAGCAAATCCGTGAAATTGAACTTCTAGTGTTTCCATAGTTGGGCCAATCATTCGTGGAATACGTAGCTCAACTAGTTTAGATATTTGTGTCTTGTAATCTAACCAACGTGAATGTATGTTTACCGGAACCGAAGCGTCCCAGTCTAATTGCAATCTCCACAATTCCTGTATCATTAGCTTTGATATGAGGATGACTGGTCCGATAAAACCTAACGGATCGAATAGGCATGACGCTTCAGCCAACATGTTTCTTTTTGTAACATTTGAATGCATGTCTCCCACATTAACTGTATAACAAAATGAATCCTCATGTGGATTCCATTGCATTCCAAGTATGCGAATCGTAGAACTCTCGGTTAGACGAACATTTTCCTGACCACCTGTAGACCGGAGTCCCTCTAAAAGTCTGATGTCATTAGAAAACCATTTATTGAGCTCAAAACCACTCTTTGACATTATGGTAATGATTTGATTACGCTTACATATTGCTTCAGACAACGATCGCGCACCAGTCAAGACATCATCAACGTAAACATCATTAATTATTGCCTGTGCACCTACTGGAAATTTATTGTGATATATCTCTGCTAAATATTTTAGACATCTAGTTGCTAAATACGGTGCAGAAGCAGTGCCGTACGTGATAGTTTTCAGCTCATAAGTACGAACTGATTCAGTGGGATGATCTCGCCACGGTATAGATTGCAACGATAGCTGCGACTGATTGACAAGAATCTGTCTATACATTTTCACTACATCTGCAGTGAAAACATATTCATATGTGCGAAATCGTACGAGCAATGAGAATAAGTCTGACTGAACCACTGGACCTACCATTAGAATGTCATTTAATGAAGCACCAGTACTGGATTTACAGGATCCATCAAATACCACCCTAAGCTTGGTTGTAGTACTTGTTTGCTTAAATACACAATGATGTGGTAAGTAAAATCGCGTTGTATCATCGTTAACACTTGAATCGTCTGCTAAGCGCATATGTCCTAATTTTAAATATTCTTGTAGAAAATTCGTATAATCAGTTTGTAACTGAACATTGTGTTTGAATCGTTTCTCTAAATTATATAGCCTGCGCAACGCTATGCTTCTAGATTCACCAAGTTGCTGAAGTTGTGCGGATTTGATCGGTAAGGTGACAATGAATCGACCTTCATCATCTCTTGCAATCGTTGTTAAGAAGTGTTCTTCACATTCACGCTCACTTGGTGATAGAGTGACTTGATTCGAAAGATTATGTTCAAACTCCCAAAATTTTGTTAATGAATGTTCAAGCTCATTGTTGGAAATATCTACAGACGTTAAGCAACTCGTGATCGTGTCTCCTTGACTGTTACTCTTTAAATATGTATTGTTGATGGATCCTGCTAGAATCCATCCAAGATGTGTTTTCTGTAAAGTAGGATTATTTGAAGATGACTTGATTTGACCGATACACAACAATTGCCAAAAAACATCAACACCTAACAACAATTGAACCTCTGATGGTACATTGAATTGTGGGTCTGCAAGTCTAATATTTTTAGGCAGATTGATAGCTCGTTTATTGATATGTACCATTGGAATCGATCCGGTAATTCTTTCCGTAACTATACAATCTATGCTTAAGCGAAAACTGTTAGTGCGCGACTGAATTATAATAGTGGCGATTTCGTTTGCGCTGCTAACTAATTGATTTATCCCGACGATAGATACCTGATGTTGTTTGGTTGTGACACTTAGCTTGGATAAGAATTCTCGTGTAACTAAATTAGCCTGTGAACCATTGTCCAATAACACCCTACATGATACCCTCTTTCCCGCAGCATCCAATGCATCGACTAATGCAGTTGACAGCATCACATACTTGTTATCGCAATTGCTCATGTGATGAGTGACTACTGTCTGAGAATTGACTGTTTCAGATGCCCCAGGCTGATTGGACGGTGATCCATCCGTCGTAATAGACCTTGAGCTGCCCTGTTTGTCTATGTGTAAAAGAGTGTTATGCTTTAGTTGACAGGTTCTACATGTACCAGAAGTACATTGCGCTGCTATGTGATTCTTGGATTTGAGACAGTTTATGCACAGCTTACGTTTCTTTATTTCCTCCAATCTACGTACAACTGACAGTGTTAAAAAAGCCTGGCACGAATAGATAAGATGATTCTTATTACAAAAGGTGCATTTTAAACTTACTGAGGCTGCACAACTGATGGCTGACCTACGAGAGTTACCTTGATTGGCCTTACCATTGGTGGAGATATTCTCCTTGCTGCTAACTGACTCGAGTGTATTACATTTCTTCAACACAAATTCTATGAATTGATCAGTGGTGGGTATTTGATCAGACTGTAACGTATCCTCCCAATCACGAAAGGTCTTAGAGTCAAGTTTATTACCTAGAATTTGAATAAGAATATCATCCCATTTGTCGACTGGACGTTTGAGTGACTTTAAGGCATTCACGTGCTTTATTGTAATATTAATTAGTGATTTAAGTTCTGAATGACTCTCCTTCCTAATGCACGGAATGTCCATAACTGCTTGAATATGCGACTGGACAATGACACGAATTCGGTCGTAACGCTCTGATAAAATACGCCATGCAACCATAAAATTCTCGCCTGTTAACTCCAATGACTCGACTGAATCAGATGCGTCGCCTGATAATGACGATCGCAAATATTGTAATTTTTCGACATTGGATAACTTGTTATTTTCAGAAATCATAGTCTGAAACATCTGAGCGAATGGTGTCCATTCAGAATATTTGCCAGTGAACACTGGTAAGTTCAACCGAGGAAGTTTAATGTTAGAAGTTCTGTTTGATACGTTTTGATTGGATGCCACATTACCAGTCGGCACCTGCTCTAGAACTTGCATGGTTTGACAACCATTCATTAAACTGATCAGTCGAGCCATCAGATCATAGTAGACCGTCTCGAACAATTCA